GTCTACGGCCATATCACGCTGAAAGCACCGGTTCTCGTTCGATCACCGAAGTTAAGCAGCGTCGAGCCGGGTTAGTACTTGGGAGGGAGACCACCTGGGAATACCCGGTGTCGTAGACTTTTTTTGCACTTTTTTTTAAACTTTTTTTTAATCATTTCATTAAATTGCATAGCAATTATTTATTACCATTCAATTTTTTGTCAAAAGGTTTAAAATTTAATACCATATAAATGTATTTTAAAAACTAATAATGTTTAGAAAGCTTGGGATATATCGGTCACTCATTGGGCACTTCAATGATGTTTCAATTGTTATCAACACAACCAGAATATACGGCAATCATTCGGCCGTTCATAGCGTTAGCACCGGTAGCCTATGTGGGAGCCATTGAATCAATTATATTACGTTTGGGCGCATTATTAGAGCCATTCTTGAGGTATGAGAAATATAATACAAAAAGTATTGTGCAATAAAAATAAGTTGAAATATTTGCGCAAAGAATTGACCATAATACTATTTTGTTGATCACTGGAATAGTTCTGTTTCCATACCATTCTTCGGCGTTCCCTCCGATCGACTGGAAGTGATTGACAGATATTTTGGACACTTTTTCTGCGGAAACTCATTTCTGGACCAATTCTGCGAGATATTTGTCTTCTTGTTGTGCGGCTTTGACTTTCCCAACACTAATGCCGTAAGACTTATATCACTGTACAGTACATAACAATATATAGCATAACACTAGCGGTATATATGCGGCACAATATACAGCACACGAGTGGAGTTTAATTTATTTTTCACGAGTTAATTACTATTATCTAATGAGCTATCGTTGGATGTGTTAAACAGACCAGAATTCCGGCCATCATCGGCCACTTCCCGGACGGCACGTCGAGCTTGATTTTGGCACATTTGGCTCAACGAGTTAATCAAAAGAGTTTCGCCTATTACGATTACGGGGGCGCCAGGAATACCAGGCTGTACGGCCAGTTGACACCACCTAGCTACAATCTATCGCTGATTACATCGAGAAACATTATACTCATGACCGGAGTTAACGACTATTTGGCTGATCCCACAGACGTTGATATAATTCGCAGTCAATTGACAGGTAATTAAAATCACTTGTCATCTCATTTTGTAGACATTGATATGTTTTTATCAAATATTTCTTATTTATTGGTATAATGTTTATGTGATATTCTATGTGTAGATTCATGTAGTATTTTGTAATGAGTTTTAGATAATTATAAGATGATCAGCAAATTTACCCTAATATCCCATAGACAACGCGCGCGTTATCTATTGAAAAAAGTGAAATTATTGCCAACATTAGGTGTGCGCGTTATCTACGGGGTGCGCGTTATACACGGTGTATATAAAGATGTTAGACATTTTGAAAATATTTAGGGCTAAATTTAGCCCCATGTTAAAAAAATATTTAGGGTTTTTCTGAATCTTTAAACTAAATATTTAACCACTATATTAGTGACATCTTTATTGCACATATTTACTAAATAAATGACTTATTTTGTTATTACTTTGTAAAACTAAATTAACTATTATTTATTAAAAAATTCTTACATGCTAATCAGAACACTTAATGTGTCGTAAATTAAACATTATTTTGTAATATTTAATTTGTAAATTAAATATTCTCAAAATATTAACATTTTTAAATAATTTATAAAATTTTATTAAATTTAAAGTTTTAAAAAAACCCAAATAACTTTTTTAAATTGCTTTAAATGATAAATCTTTAAATTATTATGCTGACTCGTCAGTAAATATTTATGTAAAATAACTAACTAAAGAACATGTGATAATTTCACATTTTTATACAACATTAGGCTGAAGTTTTAAAATTTATTCTAAATATAACATTCATTTGAATATTTCACTGAAATTTTACAATTAATTGCAATTGCAATTTGTTTTACATTGTAATCTTAAAACACGTGTTTATTCTAACACTAATAAACATACACTAGTAAATTTGAAATATACAGTATTTGGTATGCGCGTTATACACGGGGTGCGCGTTATCTATAAATGATTTTTCATTCAAAAATACTGTTAAATTTCTTACTGCGCGTTATACACAGGGTGCGCGTTGTCTATGGGATATTAGGGTAATACTGTTGTATCGCTTAATGGTTTATCAATAGATAGATTAAAAATAACTGCAATTTATATGAGGGAAAATATTACATGTTTTGTTTGCCTAAATTAAAACAATTCCTTGATATCTGTCTGTATATGTCTAATACAGAATATAACTATTATATTAATAATTATATAACAAATTATGTGACACTTTGTTATGTTATGTAAGAGTAAAAAGAAATTCAATTAATTCTAACACAAGTTTTTGTTGGGAAAGAAAATAAGAAAAACAAAATCATTAATAATTTATATAAACTCCGGAAACAGATATACTGTAGACATAAAATACAGATGAAGTGATAATATTAAACGTGTTTATTGTGTGACAAACAAATTGATAACTAGTTTTTATGATAACATTTTGCCAAAACTATGTGATAATTTTTATTCTTGATTAATCGTATTTGTTTTACGCCTACAATCCTACAGTTCCCATATATGATGATTACGTAATCCCGTATACACTGTGGAATCACGCGGACTATTTGATCGGGGTTAATTCTGGCAAATTTATGAATTCCCGCATTCTTAAAGTATTATCCGATTTCTAAATATAAATATTTATATTTAATAAATTTTTAATGTAATTTTGATTCTTAAATTTTAATATAATTAGTTATACAAAACATCATTCATAGATAATAAAAATCAAATTATAACTTATTTACGAAACAATAATTTTTGTAATGAAATAAATGTAAATTACAGTAATTATTAAACATAATAAAAATGAGACCATGGTCAATTAGGGCTTTTTGGCCTCGATATGTGCGGACACAACAAACTCCTCGAGTTTCAAACCGGGCGCCCAATCCTTAATGAATTCTCGCGACTCGTCTTTCGGCGAAATCTTAATGTCAACAAAACCGGCACTTTTCAGGTACTCCTGGAGATCAACCACTGGTGTGGCGCCGGCCAGACATCCGGCATAGAGGGCCAGATCGCGGCGCACGTCCTCCGGGAGCTCAACATTAGTGACCACATCCGAAATGGCCAGACGTCCGCCGGAACGCAACACCCGATACGACTCCTCAATCGCTTTGCGTTTGTTTGGCACCAAATTTATCACACAATTGGATATAACGACGTCGACTGAGCCGCTCTCCACCGGCATGTCCTCAATCTGTCCCAAACGGAAGTCTACGTTCTTGTGGCCCGACTTCTGGGCGTTCGCCGTGGCTTTCTCTATCATCTCCGGTGTCATATCGACTCCGATCACGAGTCCGGTGGGGCCGACAGCGCGGGCGGCGATGAACGCGTCAAAGCCGGCGCCGGAGCCCAAGTCCAGTACAGTCTCTCCCGGCTGTAGTTTAGCCACTTTGATGGGATTACCGCACCCGAGGCCGAGGTTAGCCCTGTCCGGAGCGGCCGCCAAGTCGTCGGCGCTGTAGCCCAGCTTTTGGGCGTAGTTTTGGTCGGTGTTGGGCGCGAAACAAGAGCCGGCGCCGCAACAGTCGCCCGAACCCGACTTATCGCTGGTCACGACTCGAGCGTAATGTTCGCGAACCGCGTCTCGTATAGCGGTTTCCGATGTCTGGGCCGTCGACTTATCGGCGCCGCAACACTCGGTTCCCGACTTTTTAGCACAACAACTCATTTTTGCAATAATTATACTGTATTTCTATAAACAGATGTTTTAGTAACAGTTTTAGTTAGTGTAAAAATATGGGTTTTATTGCTGCCTTTTATATGATTTTGTTGTTTATCACAGTTTTTATGAATATATCCTTCAAGCCTTGATTTGATAAATATCTGGCCTTCAAATGAGTATTACTTTAGCACTTAAAAGTACTGAACATGATAAATGAATATAAAAACAATCTAGTCATGTTAAATAGAATATTCTAGCCAAAAGTGTAGCTATTTAATTTATTAATGCATGAATTATGATTATATTATTAATATCTGTAAAATACCAGCTAATAATAATATTCATAAATAATTATTGACATTATTTATAATTGTATAAGCATAATTTATTTTAATAATTGATGACTGTTTGATCTAATAATACTACTGTTCATCCATAATGTGATAATTAACAAATTGATCGAGTTCATTATATAAAATCTAGAAATTACCAGATTAAGTTTAGCACTTAAAAGTCCTTAATGTTATCAATGTTTAAGCGCTGTGCGCTAAGAGCGCCGGTAGTCGCGTCAAAATGTGCCTTAAATTGACAATATTTTATTGATCTGAACATAAAATAGTAAAATAACACATGTATTATGTATTGCAATCATTTCAAATAAACTTATATTGTAATTATAGAAATTACAACTAAATTTTGGCCATTATTTAAATTGATACGTCAGTAAATTCTGTGATTTCCATAAAGTCCAATATTCTTTAAACACAACAATATATTTCTTAGCATTTATTCATTATCTTAAATGTAAATAACAAAATAGTAAATCTTATTTAAAATTCAATATTCAAGTAATTGTAAGTAAAGTAAAATTCATAATGATTGGTAACAATGAGTTATTCATAATTATAAAACAATGTTTGAATTTAAGTATCGCATTATAGTTAGCATAAAACATTATTAAAATTCTTATATAATTAATGTAATGTATGATTCATTTTAAAATATTGGGGCAAAATAATGAAATCATGTATTTATTACTTTCTAAATAACAATACTGTATTAAATGAATAAAATATAAATAAATGAATATAAATATAAATAAATGAATAAAATATACATTTTTTAATTTATTGGTATTTTAAAACACTGTCCACTCAACTTCACTAAACTAAACACTGCCCCTTGGTCAATCAATAAATTATGAATAGTTTAGTTTGTGTTTAGTCATAGCATCCAACTCACATTTGAACACTAATTTGTCATGTGATCAAATGAACGGATGATTAACATTATATTCAGTTGTAATTGAATACAATTGAATGCAAACTAATGTTATGTTTATTGTTATAATTTAATACAAATTCAATAATTGTTTGCATTTTGCAACAGTCATCACAATCTTTACATCAATTCTACTGTTAATAAAAATGATTGCAATTCTTGTACTTATAGTGTCTTTCACTGCCATTCAATGCCAACAAATGCCAGTGTATTGTAAGTATTGTAAATATATTAAAACGGGTGACAAATACGATGGCATTGATGTCTATTACTCCACGGTTTACGAGAAGCATTTCATGTATAATAAGAGGTATGACACAACTTTTGTATATGGGTTTGAGTGGGAGATTCACTTCGGGAATCGCGGTTTCGATACCGAATTCATTGGCCATTATTACAAACGAAATATAATCAAAAGATTTAGTGGCAATGGTTTCGACTGTTATGTCAAATATCAGGTTATTATACATTGAATTTCATTCAAAACATTAATTGCAATTGATTTTAAAGTCCGGAAACACCGGCGATATTGTGACCAATTGTACTGATGGCAAGACTCACAACATCGACACCGACTCTCAATACAATCCCAAAGATCTCATATTCCGGGCAACGAAGAAGAGAGACAGCAATTGGCTCATCGTTTACGACAAAACTGTTGCAAACATTTGGTGTTATTCTCCGAATGAAATCCCAAAGAATAGACTCGTGAAGAATGAGACCAAATGTCGGGCGAATGTGAATCAAAGCACACTATTTGTCGATTCCATGGATTCATCGCTTCGGAAGAATATCGAGGCTGTCGTCGACTTTGGATTTAGAAACCGTATCTTCGGTCACTATATATTCTTCAATATAAACGGCAGACCCATGTATTGCGGACAACATTTCGGCAACTCTAAAGTACTTTTGAAATGCATTTTTAAAAATGTTTTTAATTGTTTTGTTATTTTTAGTGCAAAACAATAAAGGATTTGAAATACTTGTTACCGGAGTGTTTCCCACCGCCGCCCACAGAGAAGACTGATTGGTCCGCGGGTTTGATTGTTTTGATTACTGTTTTGGTGATGATTTGCGTTCAACTCGTTTGTTGGTTGCTTTGGTGCTGGAAATTACAACATACATGTATGTGTAAATTTAATGTAATGTAATTGTAATGTAATAATTGATGACAATTTCTATAATTAAATAAATATTAACACATTTTGCATGAAATAAACGATCGGTTTTATAGACCAGATTCGGGATATTAATATTAGACATTTAAAAAACATCAGACAAGAAATCGGTGACAATTGTATAGCCATTCTTTAATTGTTTTTCATACACGTTTTACCAACAAATACATTACTTATTACTAATATGGAAACAATCTAGTCATGTTATCTAGATAAATAGAATATACTAGCTAATAGTGTAGGCATTTAATTTATTTATGCATAATTTATGATTATATTATTAATATTTGTAAAATACCAGCTAATACATATTATTCATAATTACTAATTAACATTATTTATAATTGTATAAGCATAATTTATTTAAACAATTGCTGTTGTGTCTAAAAATACTACTGTTCATTTCTAATATGGTAGTAAACAAATTGATCGAGTTCATTATATAAAATCTAGAAATTATCAGATTAAGTTTAGAACTTAAAAGTCCTTAATGTTATCAATGTTGAAGTGTTGTATTAGTCCGATAAGAGCACCGGTAGTCGCGACATAATGTGTCATAAATTGATTATAGTTTATTGATGTGAACATAAAATAGCACATGTAATACATGTACTGTATTATCAATTTATCACAAACCAATTGATCGTTCATTTGATTCGTAAGGATGTCTTCGGACGACATAAAAATAAATAACACAAACGAAGCGAAAACTTGCAAACAATTGTCGGATCAGTTCTTCGAGAAGTTAGTGCGTAAAATCGATGCCCACTTAGACTCGGATGACATTCACAGCGATGTTATCGACGGATTCGAGCAAATGATCTCAGAGTGTGAGGAAGTGGTGTCGCAAACAGTAGTGTTTCGATCGACAGCCGACGCCGACGACAAACACAAGTTGTTTAACGCTATTATCAATAAAACACCAATTGATGACTACTTTTATGACATCAATTACTTCAGACAAACCATCAGTGATAGAGAAAAAGAGATTCATTTGAAAATAATGGCATCAATTTTGACAGAAATACACGAGTATTTGAACGAAACCACAAACAATGGGTTACACGATATAGAGGTGGAGAGACATGAATACATAGATAGAGAAAAGTTGATTAAAACCCAAAACCAGTTGCAGATGCTATACGAGGACTTTCTCGAGGAGTCGGGCCGAGCGAAAGGACACAACCGGTGAACAGATGTCATATGCGGTGGCATTTGTGAACCGACGCATTGATACTGTAGTGCCGGTCGGAGTCTAACTATACGGATACCAAAATCCCCGGACCATTATATACACATCGTGTAGTATTTGACCAACTTTTTAATTTGAATTGAATTACATTTATTGTTATTTTAAGACGTTGTGCACTAAACTAGTTCTTATATAATTAATGTAATGTATAATTCACTTGAAAATATTGGGGCAAAATAATGAAATCATGTATTTATTAATTTCTAAATAACAATTAAGCAAACCGTTTTGGAGCATTTGTGGAGCATTTTTCATAGTTTTGCGCCAATATTTTCAAGTGAATTATACATTACATTAATTATATAAGAACTAGTTTAGTGCACAACGTCTTAAAATAACAATAAATGTAATTCAATTCAAATTAAAAANTTCATTTTAAAGCATTAGTTAAATTCTGATTCTCTAACTAATTCATAGTTTTTGTTTAGTCTGCATATTAAATGACTCATTTATTGGTTGCTTTAATAACAATATTGTATTCAATGAATAAATAATTAAAATTAAATACATGCGTCAATGTATGGTTGTAGCATGAATAAGACATTGTCCACCAACTCCACTAAACTAAAAACAGCACTGCCCTTGGTGAGTCAATAAATTATGAATACTCTAGTTTTGGCTTGGCCAAAATGAGAACGCGTTCTCTTTTTTTAGAGTGACCAAGTTAATTTCTTCAAAAAATCACATGAATTTATATTTAAATACTTTAATAAATAATCAAATTGTTTAGCAAATATTAATCTTTTTAAGTTTAATTAACAAAATGTTATATTAATTTAACTGTTTATTATAAATATTAATTATATTTGTCCGGTCAAGAGTCTGAGGTAAGCACTTAGTGTCTCAACACTTAATTGATAAGTGCCTGGGTATATTTGTAAACATTTCCTTTAATATTAACAATATATACACCAAAATGTTAAGATAAAAATAATTTTATACTTTTATATGCATTTTTCTAATAAATTACCTAATATAGAATAATGTGTGGAAAATGAAAGTTTAACATGCCTGTAATTTAAAATTTACCTGTTTGATTTTAGTGATTTAAACATCAAATTGTTTAAAATTGAATATCGAAAAAGCAATTTTCCAGAACTTTTTTGCATTTAACATTAAACTGAAAATTTGAAAACATGAAAATTTAGTGCATTTTGACTTAAAATTATTCGTATACTCAGGTATATTTTAGAAATTTTAGGAAAACTTATCTAGTTATAAGGCGTGAAGTTATGAAGTCAATTTACAGATTACAAAATTTGTCTAGATGTTACATGAAATTAATACAACAATTA